TGAGAGGAGGGGAGGGGTGGGCGAGGGGAAAGGGAGGGTGGGGAGGGGAGGCGTGGGCGGGGGTTTGAGGGGCGAGGGTGGGGAGGGGATGGGTGGGGGAGGGGAGGGTGTGGAGAGGGGGGAGGGGAGGGGAGGGTGGGAGGGAGAGATAGTAAGGGAGGGGAGAAAGGGGGAGTGCGAGGGGAGGGAGAAAGGTGGAGGGGAGGGGATGGGTATGGAGATGGGGAGGCGGATGGGATGGGTAATGGTATGGGGAGGGGAGGGGATTGCGGATGGGATGGGAGGGAGGGGGAGGGAAGGGGAGGGGAGGGGTGAGGGGTGCGAGGGCAGTGGGGGTGGTGATGGAAGTGGATATGGAGGAAGAAGGTGAACTTGCGTGACTAATAGGCTCCCCACCAGGATTATTTTCTCATTTTTATTAGCGTTTAAATGATTGTAGTAAAATGATTCCGGAGTTATATTTTTACAGGATAATGATTACGTTCGCTTGAATTGACATAAATTCATTAGTTGTATTTCACTTTTTAGTACAAAAAGTGTTATTGGAAAAATGATTCCAAATTTCCTTACGCTTACTAAATGTTTTCCTAAAGCAAGAAAAAACACGTATCAGACAGACGCGCAACTTCTTATCTGCCAACCATATTGCTATCAGGGCCTTGACCATTTTTGTTAGTAAAAATAGCACTGTTCTATAATAGCTGCCTCGAGTTTATAATTCGCAGTTAGTTCTATTTGAATGAAGCTGTGTCAATTAAGGTCCTGTGCAGTCGCAATCTTTCTGATCGAGCCTTACAAGGAATTACATTTAACTGACAGCATATCTTCAGTTCCTGCTATTTCACTTTTTTGTTGTTTGATTTTTGTTCCACCGTCTGTCACCGTTTGTCAACGTGAAATAATTCTGTTACCTGAAGATTGTATTTTCACTAAAATACGTTCACATTCTTCTTTATATTCAAAGAAAGTATTTTGCGCCGGTACACCACTTCTATGCTTCAAACTGATAATTCGCGTTCTCGTGAATTATAATATTGCGTGTTTCTGTCATATTATTATTGCTGAAGAAAACATAATTAAGCATTGTAACAATAAATTCAAATTCAATAAATCCTTTTAAAAATCAGACGCTATAAATAAATGCCTAAGGTGTTATGAAAAAGAGATCTGTATAATCCTGCCAACAAATAAAATTTGCATATTACTTCAACTTTGAATTAAATGTATTTTAGTTGAATTTTGGAGTTTTAAATTTTAATGAATATGTGCATAAATTGTTCCTTCAGGACTAAATTACTTCCTTTATTGGCATTGATTTAATATATCACCTTTTTATGTGTTAACCAGTTTTTAAAAACAATAAACGTTCTTGAAATTCCGTTTTTATGAACCAATATTCAGATGTACAATGTTTGTTATGGAAAATGTAATAAAATTTTGGAGAGTAAAATTGTTGTGTTTCACATACTATAGTGTTCTTCTTCAAACAACCGTAACAGAGTACCCAACTTTACATATTAAAATAATTAATGTTGTTTATGATTGTATGGTATTCGAAGTCGTTGATGCAGATCTCCACACGTTTCTCGCAGAAACTTTTACTGCATCTTGGAACGGCTTATTTTTATTATTTATTTATTTATTTATTTATTTATTTATTTATTTATTTATTTAATTTATTTATTTATTTATAATTATTTATTTATTTATTTAATGGTATTTATTTATTTATTTATTTATTTATTTATTTATTTATTTATTATTTATTTATTTTATTTATTTTATTTATTTATTTATTTATTATGTATTTATTTTATTTATTTATTATTATTTATTTATTTATTTATTTAATTTATTATTTATTTATTTATTTATTTATTTATTTATTTATTTATTTATTTATTATTTATTTTTATTTATTTATTTATTTATTTATTTATTTATTTATTTATTTTATTTATTTATTTATTTATTTATTTATTTATTTTATTTATTTATTATTTATTATTTTTTATTTATTTATTATTTATTTAATTATCAAAAAATCAATTAAAAACTTTGAGTGACATCCTATGGTGAGAAGTGAATTCTGTGCAAATTTCTTAAGTCCCATATCTCTACCTTTAACTTTATTACAAGTTGAATTATTGGAAACAGGGTTTTAGGCCAAAAATTGATAAGAAAAATTATTAGTTCCCGAGTGTTTATTAAAAAAACTATTTTGAAAAAGGACAGAAGTTAACAAACTTTGCCTTTTAATGTAGGCAAGTATTTTGTATAATCCTAGGGTCAATGATCCCATTCTCGATTCAGGTTTTGTTCAGTTTTCTCTGGTCCTGAGAAAATGCTGAGATTGCGCCCCTTGTTTTGCCTCCAGAACAGTTATTGTAAAATTTGCCTCTCTCCACCAAGACATAATATTTGACTCGTCATACAGGATTGTAATTGTGTTGTGTGAGACTAATAAATATTATTATTATCGCTTGTGGTTGCCCTTGGTGAAGGAATCAAACTTATGGCCGGCGAGAAACGTCACACAAACTTGAATAACTAACATTTTTCACTCAAGATTGTAGTGTGTGTTTCCTTGGCGATGTCCCAGTATGTGTTGCTGTGACGATGAGAAATTCACTTTCCCAGGGTAACACTCGAATATGGCGTGGGAATGTCTACGTGCAACCCACACGTAAACCCCACCCCACACCGTACCCACCCCCGTAAACCCCACCCCACGTAACCCCACCCCACGTAACCCCGATGGCTGCCCGAGGCAGGGAACGTAACCCGATAGGGCCCTGCGCCCGTTCCCACGAGCTGTTCGGGCCAAGTTACCATAGATACATATTACTCAGGGGAAACTCTAAGAAAAATGTGACATGGTATGTTGGAACAGGTAGACAATTAAAATTCAAAAAAAAAAAAAAAAAAAAAAATAGAAAATGTTCACAGATAGCGAAGTTACATTGATGTCCAGAATTCAAAACAAGGGAGCCACCTCTGAATTTCGCTCTAATATCAGGCGAAACTGTAAGAAAAAACCTATTCGAGTTGGGGACATGCCCCAAAAAGTTGAGGCATACAAATACGTCGTGACTGGTATACTTAGTAATTTTAAAATTAATACTACCTAAATGCGCAAAACTAAATTCATTAATATTGTTAAATTCAATATTATTTTCTTTTATCTCAGGAAAATATGTACTTTTTACTATTTGAATGTGCATTTTGCAGCGGATACAGCTACAATAACAGGCTTTTGTATAGCTGGCGTTAGACGAAAACCTTTCTAGTGAGCTGTTGATTCTGATGGATCTTACAATTGATATGTCGAGTGTTATAGTTTTATCTGTATCTTCTCAAAAGTCCACGCAGGAGTAATTCATTTCTGACAAAAATCCACTAATTCGTAGACCATGAAAGGAAGGCAATGGTAGAATTCCTAGCTTAATAGTCTTACAAGAATCGCATCCCTTAAAACTCTTTGGGTGGGTATAAAAAAATGTGCGTTTGTAATGCTAGATAATTGTGACTTTTTCCGTTCCACACACTCTTAATGTGTAAGTAAACTCGCATATTCCCCCAAAGTAGTTGGAACTTCGCGGTGTTAGTATGAAACCCAGGTAAGGTTTTTTTTTTTTTTTTTTTTGGGCCATTATTTCATAAAATTTTATTTTAACTAGGCTGTCCGGGTGACGCCGCGTCCATGACGAAGGTCGACGGTTTATGTCGCCATATCTGCGACCTTCCTCAGGCGATTTACGCCCTGAGGAAGGTCGCCAGGGCCGAAGATGCTCGTCTATGATAGTTCAGGTCATTTAGCGGACACTGCTCTCTGTAGCTGGCCCGCTGTGCAGCGGCCTCCGTGATAGTGAGTCCATCTGGAAATGAAGCCAACATAATTATTCTAATGCGATCAACTAATTGGTTTTAGAGTTAAATTTAATTATATATTTACTTTCTGGAATCAAGTAACAAAACCAAATTCTAACTTATGCAAGGAAATAACGTTCTATGAAGATTTATTGCGTCAGTAATCTATCAGGATAAGATTATTCAGAAGGGCTGTTTGGTTTGAGAAGCGTTCATGGAATTTCAAACTCCAAAAAGAAATAGGAACAAACACAAATGCTAGAATAATCGTTGATTTTAATGGGCTTATTATTCACGTGGTTCCTGAAAAATCCAATGGGGGATAAGAGTTTACCCTCTTCACACTAGATTAAGATGACTGTATTTGCCCCCAGGACTTGAAATTGGTGTTAAGTCCCAGTTGTTAGTTGGTCCTGGCTACAGCCCCTATCCTTCCCCCTGCATCTCCCGCCGAAAATGTATATGAAGGGAAAATACAAAACGGAATTGTTTCAAATTGTCATGTATATAATTAAATTGTCACCAAATTATCACATTTATTTGTCAACACATTTATTTTGTGAAACTTCAGCAGTTCATTTTCGCAACGTAAAAAAAAACGCTGCGCATTTCGTTTTTTATTTAAATTCATTTAATTTTTGCAAATCGATATTGTCGATCATGTCGCTATAAACATGTAAAATCGCAATAGTGTTGAGCTGATCTGCCAACACAGGTGTTCGCATTTACATTATGTGTCGACGCAATTCCGAGAAACTTCGTTCATTTCTGGAATTTAAAGTTTCTGAAATATATTTCTCACCCCAAATTTCGAGGGGGTCTTTCACCCATTCGCAATTTTTCGTGTAAGTATAGCCACCCACCATACCCACATTATCTACTAGACCTGATCGCCCTCTCCCCCAAGACACGTTATTTCTTGTGAAAAAACGAAGCAGTCCAAACATTTGAAAAAATAAAAATAAATTAAGAGCTTAGCGCTAAACGGTCCTGATATCCATCGGTTTCGAGTTTGGAAAAAATAATTCATCATATCGGCTTTGATGGAAAAGTGGCTATCATGCCGGGTTACTGACCCAAAGTTCGAGCGTTCAATGCCGGTCAAAAGTTTTGAAGTGCCAAAAATTGATGGCATGCATGCAAACGCTTGTCGGCATGTAAAACAGATCCCAGGAAAGGCACTTGGCCGATACTGGCGAAATTAAATCCTCTACCGATTTAGCACCAATCAGAGATTCGATTTTAATTACTGGATAAGATTGCGGATATTGTATCTTGGTTTGCGCTATATGATACTCAAATCAAACGTCAACATTGGCGCACTAGCGCCCCTAGGGAAAGCAATGCCAAAGTACTGTAGGTATACTTGCTCAGAAAAAAAAAGAAGGCGCTAGGGGCTTCTCGCATCTACGCTCGTCTACGCTCTAATCGGTGTATGGCATTAAGAGAATATGAAGAATCATCATTGTGTGGGCCAATTGGGCTGTTCCGGCCTCCAGGTCATCTATCTTCTGGGCCTATCTCGATCTCGAGTCCTTCCGGTCTGTAGTACAAGAGAATATTTGGTAGTATCTCGCTAGTCATTAGTTGGACACGATGGAAACGTTTCTCTTTTAGTTCTTGAATTCTCATATTAAGGTTGAATAATTTCAATTCGTTTCTGATATCTTCGCTTTTTATGTGCTACAGAAGCGTATGTTGCTAGCAACAGATCTTAGAAATCTCATTTCAGCAGCCATTTTCCTTCCGTCCGTGCGGTTTCTGTTCCAATTGTCACAATCACATTCAAGTACAATAAGCACTATCAAATAGTACAATTTAATTTCTGTTTCCTTCTTTACCCCGTTTTTGAGATTTTGTTTTGGATTGTTCCACACGTTGCCGGGAATTTATTGAGTTGTTCTTGAACTCTTCCTCGCCCCAAAAAGAGAAATTGTGTCCAAGGTAGTTAAATTCTGATACTTATTCTAGTCTGGTATTTGCTGTTTGGTATTTGCCGTTTGGTATAGATAATCATTTTATATTATTACAAAAAATTACACATTTTATGTAATTTGTTTTGCATTTTTTCGTAAATTTTGAGTAATAAGTTTTTTTAAAACTGTTTTAGTAATTTTTATTGCAATTTTTGCTGATTTCATCAATTTTAATGTCATTTTAATGTATGTGCTTGAAAGAATATTTGCGAGAGACAATAAATGTTCTCCACAGGATAACTAAAGACAGAAATTTCCTGGAAAAGAATAGTCTATACCAAAAATATGCAAGCTGAGCTAACTTGAACGAATGGAAGAAGACTTAACTACATCAGTAATATATCCAACAGCTTGAGTTGTCCGAAATGGTTTTGATAATTTTTACGTCATTTTTCTTCGCTGTTTGGGGATTTTTATAACATTTTAAGAGCATTTTATTGAGCATTTGTGGTAATGTTTTGGGTTATCAATATCCGCCCCCTACTCATAATTTTCGTGATGAAAATTTGAATTGTTGCCCCGAATTTGCGGATGGTGTCGAGAGCGAATCTTATAACTGCCCATTTCCTTCTCCATCTTAAAGAACATGAAGACTCCTTTGGCATAATCAATAGTGGAATGAGGAATTAAATGGTTTCAAGATAATCTTCTACGGCCTGTACTGTATTTAGCAGATATAAGGAAGACGTGGTAATTGAAACGGCCTTTACTATATTTCGTTTGGCATATTAGAATCGGATTCCTGTTTGAAGAACTTTAATGCTAGCCCGCAGGTCATTATACCTCGGGTCGCTCCAGATAATAGCACTCGAAAGAAAAGTCGCAACAGGTAGGAAAATACAATGTCCGTGCCTACTGAAGCATAATATCTAGGCTTTTCTTAGGCACCCGACTCAATTGGAAAAACCATACAGACAATACAGTTATTCAAGCACAATAAAACTGCACCAACTAAAACCAATAATAAATAAATCAGCTACCATACAATACTGCCTTATTGCTCTATAAAACTATCATACGACCACTACTATTATATTCATGCCCAGTTTGGATCAGCTCAGCTAAATCTAATACAAAAAAACTACAAATAATCCAAAATCAGTTCCTCCGTACCATCATGAATGCCTCATGGTACATCTCCAATGCTCAACTCCATAAAGAATTCCAGCTAGAACCGATAACCAACCATATCATTTTTGTATCCACCCACTTCTTCCAGAACATCCCAAATTTACCCAAACTAACCCCGCTAAGACTCTGCCAAAATCCAATTCACAGAACCCGCATCAAAAATAAATTTCCTTCCCATTCATACCTAAATAAATTCTCAGATCTCGAACCAAAGTAGAGATATTATATAAAGATACCTCTACCACTCTAGTGGTAATGTAGGTTGTCTTTTAAGATTAGTAAGATTATTTTAAGTTAATTATAAGTAGATATAAGCAATTATAACAAATGTAGATTGTATTAAACACTGATCTTTTTATTGTTCTATCCAAATGAAAATAAATACATTTAAAAAAAACTGAAGCATAAAGACCCAAGCAAACGTAAACATAAGCATAGCGCATAGACATAAACATTAAAATAAGTGATAGACTGAAGTATTCACAATGTCTAACATTAACGTAAGCAAAATAAGAGTTTCTATTGACATGTTCTGGTTCACTATTGGTTGGATGTGAGAATCGATTTCGAGGTATCGACTGTGACCATGACTCATGTGGCGTTAGTTCTTCTATCGACTTCGCTCCAATTTCGATTCTCGATTTTAAGTTACCGTTCTGTGATTGGTTCATTTCTTATGTTTTACTTAAATATAAGCACAGAAGCTTGAAGCTTGCGAGCTTTTAAGTGAACGTCTTACGTGTTATACTTATGCGAATGCATTGTGAATGTGTCCGCTTATGGAAGTAGACCTAAGTTTTATGTTAACGCCATGCTGTTTATGTTTGCAATGTGAATGGCCCTTAACATTCATATGCTGTAACGGCGGTGCATCCAGAATGCAACAAAGTAATAGAAACATTTCTATTGATTATTTTAATAAATAGTTAATTAAAATATCTGTAATTAAAATGTAATTACAAAACTAGAAGTTTGAATTTCTAAAAGTATAAAATGACTGACAGCTGTCGCGGGAGCAGTATGAAGCAAAAACAAAATTTGTAGCCGAAAGACAATTTCGGGCAAACTCCGATCTTATTTTACCGCCTTTCATTTTCAGCATTTAGAATCCGTCTACAATGATTCTTACTTGCGCCTATCGGGTTTCCCTGCCCGGCTGTTGGGCGATGGCGGCGCTACGCCAGCCCGGATGTCGGGTGACTGGGGCACTTTGCCGCCGGGGCTGTCAGGTGACGGCGGGGCTTCGCCGGCCCGACTGTTGGGTGACGGCGGCGCTATGTCGACCCGGATGTCGGGTGACGGCGGCGCTATGCCGACCCGGATGTCGGGTGACGGCGGCGCTACACCCACCCGGATGCCAGGTGACGGCGGCGCTTTGCCGACCTGGCTGTTGGGTGACGACGGCGCTTCGCCGGCCTGGCTGTCGGGCGAAGGCGGTGCTTTGCCGGCTGTGGTGTCGGGTGACGGCGGCGCTATGTCGACCCGGATGTCGGGTGACGGCGGCGCTACCCCGACCCGGTTGTCGGGTGACGGTGGCATTTTGCCAGCCCGTCTGTCGGGTGATAGCGGCGCTTTGTCGGCCCTGCTGTCGGGTGATGGCGGCGCTATGCCAACCCGGATGTCGGGTGACGGCGGCGCTTTGCCGGCTTGGCTGTCGGGCGACGGCGGAGCTTTGCCGGCTGTGGTGTCGGGTGACGGCGGCGCTACCCCGACCCGGATGTCGGGTGATGGCTGCGCTACGCCGACCCGGATGTCGGGTGATGGCGGCACTACGCCGACCAGGGTATCAGGTGAAGGCGGCGCTTTGCCGTCCCGGCAGTCTGATGACGGCGGCGCTACGCCGACCAGGGTATCAGGTGAAGGCGGCGCTTTGCCGTCCCGGCAGTCTGGTGACGGCGGCTCTTTGCCAGCCCGGTTGTCGAGTGATGTCCGGCCCGGACCGCGGGGCTACGCAGGCCCGGCTGTCAGGTGACGGTGGCGCTTTGCCGGCCCGGATGTCGGGTGAGAGCGGCGCTACGCCGACCCGGCTGTCGGGTGAGATGGCTGCGATTCGCCGGCTTGGCTGTCGGGTGAGACGGTATCGATACTTAGTAGATTATATTCAGGTGCTTTAAACTTTAATATAGTGACATCCACGTAAAGGAAATAAACATAAGACCTAATTGATGAGAAGATAGGATCGAAAAAGTCTGTTAACGATTATTTTGTGTGTGAATAATTGCAGAAAATTGTTAGTTACCAGGATGTGTGTACCTCTAGTAAGCAAGGTTGTTATTTATCATTTTGAAATTGCATCTTAGATCTCCAAAATATAAAAACAATTTTAGTTGAAAATATTATTTTTTTACACAGAAATAAACCGAGAAATCTGTTCAATCCGTTCCGACGGTGATTCAACCCGTCTCACAACATATGCAGCAATCCTAAATCAAGTACCCGTATCAACCACTCACCATAAGAAATGCACATATTTTACGCTCTTTGTACGATCTTGTACAGGTTTTTTAATGGTAACTGATGTGTATGAAAGGGTGAGAAAATTTCACATATTACAACGTCGTTACCAATATTGCGAGAACGTATGTGCTTGTATTGTTCTAGTTTACTATGTTTTGACCAAAAATTATAAAATCGAAACACTCACCTCCCTGCTCCCTCACTGGCCGTAGGCGGTGGTGCTACAGATTGGAACCCTGGACCTCCATTCACGCGAGCTCATTGGATTCCCATCGAGATCTCCAAGCGTGTATTTTCATATCATTCTAGACGGCCAAGACTGTAAATCTCCCCTCAAGCTATACTTGTTATAGCTCATACAGGTCTTGACTGAAATTTGCTTGTTTAGTAAGGATTTTCCATTCCACAATTCACGACTTCGCTGCCATATTTTATTCTTTTTCATTTTCTCTTTTATTTTGTTAGAGCTTTATTTCTCATTACTCTCTTTTTCTAAGTTCTTACGTCGTGGTGGAGTAGGTAATCTGCCTTGAAGATTCTCACTTTGGCCAGCCTTCTTCACCAGATTCCCGGGTTTTACAAATCAAATGATAACAGTTTTGGATCAAGTATTCAGGTTGCTTGATTCTTTCGTGAGAAAATTCTCCTAAGTGCTTTTTAATGAAATGCAATGACAGACCTGTGATCACTGCGTACTACATAATTTATACAAAAAAGGGCGTTTAAAAAACACCATGAGCCAGATAAGCAGCACATTTAAATTCATGAATGGGACTCCAATGATATTAAATAGAACATAAGATTCCAAACATTCCATTTACACATTTGGTTTTGTTATTGAGATGAACATGAAAAAACACGAGGTATTTGTTCATTTCCATAATGAATTCCAAATATGTGAACACACTGAGTCCACAGACACTGTTAAGACTCGTTTCGCTTGCAACACAGCATCAAGTTCGTTAAAAAAAAGGACAGAGCAAACGAAACATGAAAAGAAGTAGAGGTGCATTCAATTCATGAATGAATCTCCAGTAAATTTAATTAGAATTACTGATTCCTGAGGATTCGTTCAGCAATTAAGTTTTGAAGTTGAGTTAAATATGAATGCAAAAGCTGGTAATTCGCACATTTCCAGAATAAATCCCGACAAAATGGTTCCACTTTCAACAAAGTAGCTTCGTTTTAATACAAGTACGTCTTCCTTTAGAAACCTCTCCATTTCAGAAACAGCAATTCTAAGGAGACTTATGAGCAGAGCAATAATGTACAGAAGTTATTGAGTGCGTCCCTTGATGAGAGACGACTCAGCGCAGCAATACCCCATCCGGGGCACACAAACCGACTAGCACGAACGAATATTCTAAGATTACTTAGAACGCCGGATTCCTAAGGAATCGTTCAGGCATTAATTTTTGATGTTGAGTTAAATATGAATGCAAATGCTGGTAATTCGCAAACTTCCAGAATAAATTCCGACAAAATGATTCCCACTTTCACCAAAGTAGCATCGTTTTTAGTACAAGTACAACGCCTTCCTTTAGAAACCTCGCCATTTCAGAAACAGCAGTTCTAAGGACACTTATGAGCAGAGCAATAATATACAGAAATTGTTGAGTATGTCCCCCGATGAGCGCCGGGGGCCGCGAGCCGGCCGCCCCGCGCTGGAAGCGCAGCAACTGCCCGACCCGGGCACACGAACCGACTGCCGTGCGGCGAGCCACGCGGCGCGGGCTGCAGTCGTCGGTCGATGGCGTCCGTACGTGGCCTCTCGCTATTGGCGGAGTCGCGTTCTCAATTTGAATTTTCGCATTTTCTGCAAGTCGGAAAGCCACCTGCACAAAAATAGCAAGAAGAAAAAAATTATTGTGCAGATATCTAATTCACATTTTCAACAAAAATATAATTGGAGTAGTGAATAAAAGTATTTAAAAGGACACGTGGTCTCCTAGGATAGGTTTGTCGTGAAAGCGATTTGTTGTGTGTAGATAGCGCGTTTCCATGACAAAACGAGTTGCCTAGTTCGAATAGCGTATTGATCCAGGTCTGTGCGTGTGGAGGTGAGCAATGCAACATGCGACCTGGTTCGAGAAATTTTCCATTGCAACACAGTTTGTGGAAGCCAAGAACTTCATTACTGGCTTTAAAATATGAGTTGTTATAAACGTTCAAGCAAGAAGAAATGAGGAAATTATAATTATTGAGTACATACAATATAACATTTTGGTTTTTTAATACTGTCCAGATGTGTCTAAAAAAATAAAAGATCCTCTGAATATAATTTTAGATGTTCAATAATTTATTTTTAAAAATATTACCAATCTGAATGTAATACGTACGTTTTCTGCTCGTACATTGATATTTAACACGAGCCATAATTCAATAACTCTCTAATTCTTCCAATCTGCCCAGTATTTAACACGCGCCATAATTCAATAACTCTTTAATTCTGCCATCCTGCACCATTCTTCTAAACGTTCTTTACACTATCCAAGAACAAAATTTAATCAAAAACGATGTAGCCATTTTTTTGAAAATTTTGAAAATGTCCCAGAGGCTTCATGTAAAGTACCCCCCAAAATTGAAATATCGGTTTCAAATTCAAGGGGCCGTGACAGCTAGATCAATTGGGGAATATCAATTTTGGGGAAAATCAACGCAATGGTTTAGCCACAAGTGTTGCTTACAGGTAGACGGACGGACAGACAGACAGACAGACGTTTTGCCGTCATTCGAATTTTCGGTTTGGATTTATCCACTTTTTCGTTACCAGAGCCCTTTAATAAGAGTTTTTCTGCCGAAAAATCGATGTTTTTTCGCGCAACATTACATAACTTTCTTTACAATCCGTAGCGAGAAAGAAAAAACTGTGCCATCTTCCCAAAAGAGCTACTCATCCCTTTGTACAACTGGAACACTTCATGGGTTCAGAGCAGCCAACACTTTTCTTTACCCTGACTGCTCTTCCGACAATTATTCAGTGTCTTCCACGTTCTATTGTAGTGTCTTTTCCGTGTTCTATTTATTCCAAATTCATCCATTCTGTAATGTACTTTCTGCCGAGAAGTTCGCTATGTCGCAAGCCCTGAAATATATTGAATCAGGTTCGCCACGACAAGTTATATGCAGCGATTTCATTAGTGGACTTCAATCACTCTTAACCCTTTCTCCCTAAAACCATCTGACAGCAATAAAACACCTGATTCATGTGGGAATCATAGGCAATTGACTAGGTAACCAGGCTACGAAATCAGCGACTCGGAAGTCGGTGACATCTAGGTTACCCCAGCGGATTTAAAAGCATTTCTGAAACGCTCCTCTATGTTCAATGCATGACAGACAGGGTGGCACAATGCCACTTTTAAATTAAGGGCGATTGAATATTTTTGTAAAACCCTGGTCTTCCTCATTCCGTGATGCAAGACGTGAGGAATTAATTTTACCTCCTCTTCGAATCGGCCATTGTCACTTTTTTCATTTATGGTTATGTAATGATGCATATAATTCATATCGAATTTTAATTTCGATTAACGGTTTTTAGAGAATGGCAGACACCGACAAAAGTGTTATTTTTCAAAAGTCTCTCTTTCCGATTGTGCATCATCATATAGTGAATAACACCAGCTAGCACCTAAAACATACGTAGTAGGTTCCAAAAATTAATATTCCCCAGTTGATCTGCCTAGACAAAGCCCTTCAAATTCTAAATTAATCTTATAATTTTGGGGGTACTTCACATGAAACCCAAATTCACAAAAATGGTTCAAAAAGGCTCAAAATTTATTCTGTATTTTTTTTCTAGAATAGAGCTAACTACGCTCGTAAAATGGAAGTTTCAGTTAACAATTCTGATTTTTGAAAGTTAAAAACGATAAAAATATTTGGAATGTTTCGTTTTTTAATATTTTCGAACATTCGGACAAATTTAAAACAAGTGGTAAAATAGCGCGTTGTCTTTGTTGAATCAAATTATTCCTCCTGTAAATATGTTAGAGATTCCTAAACCAGATGAATTTCGGGGCTATGATTTAATTTTTAATATTAAAATTTTGAAATTAAATTTATATGATGTTTGCGTTTACAATCCTTGTACCAGTATCAGCAGCTCACTACAAAAAATTCACATAGAATACCTGTACATTATTTTACTACACTTTGCTAGATGACATTATCGATTAAATTCGATACAAAAGTTTAAGTCCCAAGTAAAATCTTTTCCACTGCACTAGTGTTTCTAAACAATACGACCATCCAAAATGAAAGTAATATTAATTTTAACAGTGACATGTAATGTAATATTTACCATTTGGACTGAATAATTCTAAAGAACCTGTAACAATTATTGTATTTTAGCTTCTGAGTCAATGACCCCCATCTCGATCAGGTTTTCGTCTAGTTTCCCTGATCCTTGAGCAAATGCGAATAACAAAATTATTTTCTCTCCATCTCAAAATATGTGGCGCT